GTGGTTGTTGATCGTTACAACCGTCAAGTAGCGAATGATCTCCCAGATCGTTTGGTAATGATTTATTTCATTTACTTCCATTAGCACATATTTTAGTATTAAAACCTAGATATTTTGATTGTAAAATTCGAAGTTCTTTTAATTTATTCTAAAGTTATTTTAGATCAATTATTATATAATCATTATTACAAAGCCTCTTCCCCTACTCAATTATTAAAAATATTTAACCAAAAAGTGAAGAAAATAAACACTAGTTAAAAAAAATTTATATATCTATATCTATATATATATATATATATCTATATCTATATCTATATCTATATATATATATATATATATATATATATATATATATATATATATATATATATATATATATATATATATATATATATATATATATATATATATATATATATATATAATATATATATATATATATATATATATATATATATATATATATATATATATATATATATATATATATATATATATATATGTATATATATATATATATATATATATATATATATTAGGGTGGGTCATAAAATTTTTTTTTCTTGTTACAGGCTCTAAACATTGCTAGTAGTTATTAATATTGATACTATCAAATATGAGAATGATTGTTATAGATTTAAAGGGTGCAACTTTATTGGGAATATTACCAGTACCCTAATATTTTGGAGAAAAAAATTTTTTTCAAAAGTAAATCAACCTGGTACTCAAAAGAAGCGAAATTTTATAAAAAATTCGAAAATAATAATCGTTTTATAAAAATCATACTGCCGAAAAAAATTGTTATTAAAAAACATGTAAAAATGCACCTTTTTCACTTTTAGTTAAAAAACTATAATTATTATGCAATAAAATCTAAAATAACACTTTTTATATAAAAATTATTATTTTTGAAATTTTTATAAAACTTCGCTTTATTTGAGTACCTACATCACATAATTTTGAAAAACTTTTTTTTTGAATAATAATAGGGCCTGCTAATTTTTGTAATTATAGTTGCATTGTTCAATCCATAAAAGTAAATACTTTCCTAAATTAGTACATAAAAAAACAACTTTCTAGACCATAGCCAGGTTAGCAACTCTAAAAAAAAATTTTATGACCTACCCTAATATATATATATATATATATATATATATATATATATATATATATATATATATATATATATATATATATATATATATATATATATATATATATATATATATATATATATATATATATATATATATATATATATATATATATATATATATATATATATATATATATATATATATATATATATATATATATATATATATATATATATATATATATGTATATATATATATGATTAATGGGTAATTGAATATTAAACCACCATATTAATCATCTACCACTCAATGCACTTATACTTGTCATTCTTAGTATTTCTAGAATTTATATTTGTTGATTTATGCCAATAGGGTTATACTTTATCCAGATTGGGTCATTAAAACATTACTCTAACCTCTATCTAACACAAAAAATGTGTGAAAACAGCTCTTGTAATGTATATAATACATATAAATGGTTTAGCTTTGGAATATATATATGTAACAATGAAATATATATATGTAACATAAGGATATATATGTGTGCATACATTTGTGTGAGTACATACATACTCATATGTTTGTATGAGTATACATGTAATTATGTCTATCAATGGGTGTATATGTATTTGTGTATATGCTTCTATATAGTAATACTATAGTTATACATATTATTTAATATATAAATACTGTTAAGTACAATAAAGGCGCTTCATCTAATATTTTTTCAATAGTCATTGCATCTTTTTACTATATATAACGAGTCATTCCACTCCAAATATTACCACTTTTATTCATCAGCCAGACCGAACATTAATAGTTTAACCATAACTATTACAATTACTGACTTCTACTGTCACTGTTTTAAAACTTTTATTATTTTATAAAAATTATTCCAAAACTACAATACCCTTTTTTTTATCCTTACCATCTGGGAACTACTTTAAAAACAATCAATTCTACTCCAGCTCAGTTACATACATCATCTGATAACTACTCAGATACATCATCTGATAACTACTTAAAAAACGAATAATTTTAATCCAGGTCTATTACATACATCCCATACACACCCTTTTATAAAAGATAAGTATTAACACTTAATTTTTATACTTGAATACAAATACATTTTTTTATCAATGTATTGTCTTCGTACTGTTAAAATATTAGGAAAATGCAAACAAAGAGTTATTAGGCTAACAAAGAATAAAAAACAATAAGTTCACACTATTACTAGATATCACATTACTTAATTTTAAAAACCAGCTTCTAACAACTAATATTATTTTGATACTAAAAACTCACACTAAAGACACAAGTCACTATGAATATTATTAGGCACAAAAAAGGCCATGCTATACATACAGTTAGGTTAAGTGACTAGAGGCTACCTGCTAACGGGTTTATAGGTATTCAACATTTTTTACATTTCCAAAGAGAAAAATGAAAATAAAAATGAAAATGGTATTGGGAAAATTTAGAATTTAAAGAACGCAAATGAAAGTCGACTCAAAATTAGTTGCAAGCTTTCAGGAAAAGAATTTGATAGATTTTGCCACTCAAAGACCAATTAATCTGTTAACTGTTCTTAAAATTGAACCAATTTTCTAACTTATAATCTAGCTACATAGGTTTTCTGTCCTGTCTATCTGACTGTCAAGCAAAGCAATAGCAAGCACGAGAGTCACCAGTAACTGTGCTAAACTCGCTGTTAAGTTTAGCATCAGTAATGTGCTAACACTTGAGTGTTAAAGTGATAGCAATTAAACGATATTTTATATTTAAGATTGTCAAATATCACAGAAATCTCATTCCGTTAAAAAAAAACTTAAAGCTGAACAAAAAATGATTATTCATTGCTGTTGTAAATACCTTGATACCCAGTGGGCATCGGACCTTAGAAAGACATCTTTTGAAGGTTCAAAAGATGTCAAAAAAATTAAAAAGACGTTCAAATTATATTAGTTTCGCTAAGATATTATTGTTTAGGGTTTCTGAATCAAAGATTGAATAAGTTATTCATGGATTTTTAATCCAATGTGCATTATTTTATGTTTTGTATAATTGAACTTCATTAACCATAACGGAACGCGTCTTCTATTTTTCTGAGGAGCGGCTTTGCTTAACAAAGCCGCTCCTCAGAGAAATAGAAGACGCTTGGTACTCCCAGAGGTGTTGGATAGATTTGATCCCAGAACCTCTTGATTGGGAGTCTAATACCACATAGTTGATTTAAACTTAACAACGAACAAAAATAATTTGGAATGGTTAAGTGGCATAAAAAGGTTTATTTGATCTTCCACTTCTCCCTTATCAGTTTTATGTAATTATATTGTGTAAACCTCTAGTATATAAAGATTGCGTGGTTTATAATTTAATAGTGTTTAAATAATAACTATTGTTAATATGTTGTTAATTACTTGTTTGTCCCACTTTACACCACACTTGTCTCACTTTACCCTGATGGTACGGTTCCTTTAAAATCTAAAATCAGTATATATTTGTTTATCACATTTTAAAATGTGGTAAATAAATATATACTGAAATTATATACTTATTTACTGAAATTATATATAAAATGTTTTTATACCAAAATTGTACCAAAATTTATACCAAAATTATTTGAAACATAAAACAACTGTATAATTATATTCCATTTCTTTGAAACTGTGTAATTTTTTTTTTTTTTAATTTGAATTTTCATGCTATATTTTTCTATACAATGTTCTTATATCCGAAGATATTGTTGGCTTAGCATAGGAACAGCCACAAATAGTCATTAAGACTAATTCTAAGTAGCGTCCGTTATTGACCAACATTTTTGCGTACCAAAGTACAACTCAAGCGCTGAGTTGGCGGTGGCAGGATTTGAAGTCGTATTGTTCAACAGTCCGGATTTTAACTTTTCGTTTGACGCTCTAACCAACTGAGCTATCCCGCCACAATGGTGTTACCTAGTTCTATTTAGAGTGTTCTAAGCGAAGCACTTTTGAAAGTTTTGTAAACTTAACATACGTTGAATCAACACAGTTTTAAAGCTCTAAAAAAAATTTCAAGTTTACAAAACAAAATATGTTTAGTATTAGGAATAAGCTATAGTTGTTTTTTATTTTCAATCAATAAATAAGGAAAAAAGTATTTAAAAAACATTTGCACAATAAAAATAAACAATAAAAAAATATATAGTGAACAAAATTTGGAACATATATTCTTATGTTTTTGATAGTTGCAAGCTTACTTGGACTTGTAAGCATTTTGCTATTAATTTAAATTTTTATTAAGCTCGCTATGTTAGATTTATCTTGTTTTTATCACATTTTTGAGTTTTGAAATTAAACGGTTTAAAAATTAAAACTTTACGAGACAGCATATGAATAGTTTTTCATTACTTATGTTTACTCAGCAACTTTTTTATTTATAACTTTGCTTTCAATACAGTAGAAAAATATTATTCCGAGGTAAATAACACAATCAGTAACTCAAATATTTCAAAAAGTGGAAATAGAACAAGATGAGTGATAGTAGTTCATTAAGTAGGTTCATTAGGAAGATGACCCTTCCTGATAAAGAAACCATGCTGTTTTTACTAATTTATTATTGCGAGAATACTTAAATATTATGAGAGAATACTTAAATACTAGAAAATTACTCAGAAAATAATTTTTTTATGCAACTTCATTTTGTCAGTTAACGATGAACTTAATACTTTTAAGTTGGTTGCACAGACACGTTGGCATTACCACCAAGTTGTGCATGTGCAGTTATAAAATATTTTAAACGCTTCGTTGACGTTGATTTTAGAAACTTACTAATTCTAACCACGCAAGTAAAAATTAATTTTATAGTTTTTATACATCACAATTTTTAAATACTTTTTCTTATTTTAGGCATTAAATTTGTTGTTATGTTAATATATGAATGTATAATAATATATTGTAAATGCATTTTAAAGGCAAGATAAACACATACTTAAAGTTAATTTGTTTTTAAATTAATACTCTTACAGTCGTAAGAAATTCTGTATTTCAATGATTTATAAAGTAATCTTTTATCAGTTAATTACATTTGTTAACAATTATTTACATTTATAGTTTGATGTATGCATATAAATATATATTTTATTAATTCAAATAAATTTTTTTGTTACAAAGAGAGTAGCCACTGAATCCTTTTTTCCAAAATATTTTCACGAATTTTGTTAGTTTTATAATCTCCTCGAGCATCAGGTGGCAATTGATCTCCACGAGCATCTGGTGGAGATTGATCTCCACGAGCGTCTGGTGGCAATTGATCTCCACGAGCATCTGGTGGAGATTGATCTCCACGAGCGTCTGGTGGCGATTGATCTCCACGAGCGTCTGGTGGCGATTGATCTCCACGAGCGTCTGGTGGCGATTGATCTCCACGAGCGTCTGGCGGCGATTGATCTCCACGAGCATCTGGTGGTAGTTGATCTCCACGAGCGTCTGGTGGCGATTGATCACCACGAGCATCTGGTGGTAGTTGATCTCCACGAGCGTCTGTTGGCGATTGATCACCACGAGCATCTGGTGGTAGTTGTTCTCTTTTTTTTGGTTTATCGATAGTCAATTTTAAATCCATTTCAATTTTGAGTGAATGTAATTCACTGGTAAATAAACGCTTTAGGTCATCTAACGTTGTTTTATACTTTAAGTTTGAATCAACTTCATTCTTTTGGTTGCATAATTTCACGTAACATTTTTCATGGATATCACAATCACATATTTTTTTACCAAAAACTAAAAAAGAAGATTTATTTGTTAAATTTATTTCAATCCTCTTTTATAATTCATTTCAATCCTCTTTTATAATTTTCACATTAATTCTCAATAAGAAAAGTATTCTATAACTTTAAAATACCTGCTACTGCTGGAGACAATGTGGGAGCTACTTCTGAATGTAAATTTATATAAGAGTTATTTACGCTATTCTTTTCGATTGCATATTGCTCAGTTTGAAACAAAAAACAGAACATTAACAAAATTTGTATAAACAACATCCTCTTCGATGATCTCAATCCAGTCTAGGAAACTTGCTTTGTTTTTTTAATATTTATATCGCTACATTAGATTTATGCGCAAATCACTTGAGACCATTTAACACAAAATCAAATTTTATATTAAAAAACTTGTGATAAAAAAATCAATAAACAAGAAAAAATTTAAATGTTATCTTAGTAATTTATTTGAGAAACGATCATTTAGAGAATTCAAAATTCTCTTAATTATTCTAAAGTTATATTAGATCATTTATTATGTAGACATTATAACTAATACATAGACATAATATTTTATAACAACATGAATTTGTATAGAAAATATTTTTACATTTACTTTATTTTTAAATTGTGAATTTTAATTGAATTACGTCAAGTTTAATTCAATTAAAATTCACAATTTAAAAATAAAGTAAATGTAAAAATATTTTCTATAAAAATTCTCTAGGGAAATAAAGCCTACACCCCTCATTAAATATAAAAAATATTCAACTAAAATTACCAGTATATGAATTATATTTTTATTTCATATATTGTTTATTTTGGTTGAACATTTTTTATATTTAAATATATATTATTAAATATATGTATATATTTATTATTAAATTATTATTATTAAATATATATGTATATATATATATATATATATATATATATATATATATATATATATGATATATATATATATATATATATATATATATATATATATATATATATATATATATATATATATATATATATATATATATTTAATGAATATTAAAATGAAAAAAGAGTAGGTACTCAGTGTTTCATATCTGGCGACAATAATCTGCTATATAACAAATATACAAAAAAAAAAGTAAATTTTTTTTTCTTCTTTAAAACATTTAACGGGCGCAATAAGGGTAATAAATAAGCAAGACATTAAATAATACATAAATTTTATGTTTTATAAATTTGTTTCATGGAAACGAGTGTATCCATTTCATAAGCTTTGTTCCAACATAAATTGAACGTTTGAACAGATTGTATATACGCTATAAACCTGAATCAGGCCCGTAGCATTTACTTTCCAACTTGAATCAGGTCATATAACCTCATCATCTTAAATCAGATATCTGATTTAAATCATTTGTTCCAAAAACCTTGAGCCTACATTTCAAAACGCCCATGTTGTTTTTGAGAATCGCCCTTTCAAACTGTCCAGGAGCGCGGTTATTTAACGCACAAAGGCGGATCAAGAACGCTCCACGTTCAACAATTGGACAAAAGAGATTGTTGGCACTTTGAATCCTACGCATTGAATTTGAATTGCTAAGTAAAATTGATAATGAGAGTCTTATTGATCGTTATGCTGAAACCAAAAGTTGTAGAAAAGTGCTTTAAAGCTAAAGTTGTTAAATTGATTTTTTGTACGTAAGAAATACTTACGGAGCATAGTGATAAGACAAATTTACTCTTCTTTTTGCCCTGGTCATGTATTTATTATTTATATTACACAAAGTTTTATGTATTTTTTACATACAAAACATAACCAATGAGATTAAATTAGAAAAAATAAGATAGTAATTTAATTAATCATTTAAACTTATCACATAAACGAGGTAACTTTAGTAACGGGGTTATTTTATATATGCATATGCTCTGCTGTAAAGTTCAATAAATGCAACAGTCTATGTTTCACTAAAAAATATTTATTGCTATTTAAATAATTTACATTGTTTTATTGTGAACAACTAATTCATTTATTGTGAACACCCGATTAATTTTATTTGTCTTAATGCGAATACGCACTAAGATATTTTTTATATACACATAAAATACTTTTATATACACATAAAATATTATAAGTCGTTTTTTAATTAGGTATGTACCGACGCTAAGATTTTAAGTCAAAACTTTTGCACTTACATAGGTAAAATTTGCTATCTTGCAAATCTAGTTATCAAGGGATAATAATAATTCCTGAAAATAATTTTTAAACATTTTACTGCAATTATTTTATGTACAGCCTGTTTCTTTTATTTTTATTATTTTATGTATTTTATTATTTTATGTATTTTTATTATTTTATGTACAATTATTTTATGAACAGCCTGTTTCTTTGGGCTCAAAATATGTTTCCCGTAGTGCTGAACATAGGTTCACTTTTAAAATATGAAGGAGGTGCGCACAAATTTATCATTGAGAACCTTTCCATATCACGCTTTTTTTTTTTTTTTTTTTTTTATTATTGTATTTGCCGATTGAAAATAATTTACACTCGTAATTTATAAAAACAAATATTTACATGACTGGGGCTTGAAGAAGACAAAATTCATCTTATCATTAAGCCCCCCAAAAAAATGCATATTCATCAAATAAAATATTTTAACAAAATGTAAAAAATAAAATATATAACGTTTAAAATATTTAGTAATTCAAAGAGTATTTATATTTAAGAACTTATTAGTAAAATAAGATGATATATAAGTATTAATATTACAAAAAGAATTTACAATAACTTTTTTTAATAAAAATTGAAATTATAAAATTTTACAATATTTTTAGTAATTAGTATTTCAAATAATAAAACTTAAAAAATCGTTTGTAAATTCAAAACTTATAAGATAAGAAATACATTTACAATAGCAGACTATTGTTTAGAATATTAAATATAATATTAAAGAGTAATTAGTAGGTTAATTTTTGTTTTTGTTTGCTAGTTTAAAAAGCTTTTTAGAAGAACTTTAATTCATTTTCATGTATCATCAGTAATTGCTTAAGTTTTGTTTTAAACTGGTTTAAAGAATAATTAGATTTCAGCTCATTATTTAATATTGTATTCCACAGCTTAGGACCTCGATTTGCAATTGAATATTTGGTTGCTGAATAATGTGTTTTGGATTGAATGTAATTGTTTTTTGAAAATCTGGTAGGGTATATGTGGTTTATTTTTTCAAAAAGTGAATTAAATAACATTGGTGATATTTTTTTATCAAGTTTAAACATGAAGATAAGAATATGGTAAAGGTTTAGTTTATATACATTTAGAATATTAAGTTTATTAAATAATGTTTTGGTGTGAGAGAAACGGTCTACGTTTGTAATTATCCTTATAGCCTGTTTTTGTTTACTAAACAGTTTTTTTACTTTTGTTGCGTTTGTGCTGCACCAAGCAACGTTTGCATAATTTAAGTAGCAATGAATTAAAGAAAAATATAAGTTTTTTAAACAAGATAGATTTAAAAACTGCTTGGCTTTATACAAAACACCTATATTTTTTGATATTTTATTTTCAATTAGACCTATGTGGTCCCTCCAGGTTAAATTTTCATCCAGAACCACACCTAAAAACTTTATTGATTGCTCTCTTTTTAATAATGCGTTATCAATAAAAAGATCAGGAAGTTTTAATGGAATATCTTGTTTTTTATGAAGACGATGGAACAAAGTGTATTTGGATTTATTGATGTTCAAAGATAGTTTGTTTGATTTGAACCATTGGGTTAATTTTTCAAGTTCTTTGTTTACTGTTTGAAATAATTTACTGATATCTTTACTAGAATAAAACAAGTTTGTATCATCTGCAAACAAAATTAAGTTTAAAATGTTAGAAAATTTATATAAGTCATTAATATAAACGAGAAATAAAAGTGGTCCTAAAATTGACCCTTGAGGAACACCACAGGTGATTGACTTATATTCCGTTTTTCCGCTATCATATGAAATAAACTGCTTTCTATTAGTCAAGTAACTATCAAACCTGGACAAATTAGTATTTATTATACCATAACTTTTCAGTTTGGATAGAAAGATTTGATGATTGACAGTGTCAAAAGCTTTACTTAAATCGATAAATACACCTAGGGTATACTTGTCTTCATCAAACCCTTTAAATATATCATGAACAAGGTGAGTGATTGCATGATCAGTTGAATGACCAGATTTAAATCCAAACTGTTTATGATAAAGAATATTATTAATATTTAAAAAGGAACATAGTCTATTATACATAACCCGCTCTAATATTTTAGAAAAACAAGAAAGAATTGAGATTGGTCTATAATTCGTAACATCGGAAGGATCAACTGATTTTAACACTGGAATTACTTTTGCAATTTTTAGGTTATCTGGAAAAACGCCTTGTTTTAGAGATAAATTAAAAATATGTAGTAATGGAATTGTAATTTGTTTTATTGATTTGATAATGACATTACTACTTATATCATCAAATCCTAAACTTTTATTGGGTTTTAATAAAGGGCTTGTTAGTGTCTTTATCGGAGCTGGTGTAATTGTAAACATCCCTCTACTAATAAGGATATTTATTTGATAATGTTGATAGGCTAAAGTAGAATTATTATGTTGATAGGGTAAAGTAGAAGTTAACTTCGTCCGTGTTGAATTAAAACTATGAACCAATTTAAAATTTAAACTTATATTTTAAATTTTTAATCACGTAAGGAAAAAAGAATACTCTTATTCAACTTATAAATAATAAAGAATAAACATTTATAGTTGATAAATAAACATTTATAGTTGATAAATAAACATTTATAGTTGATAAATAAACATTTATAGTTGATAAATAAACATTTATAGTTGATAAATAAACATTTATAGTTGATAAATAAACATTTATAGTTGATAAATAAACATTTATAGTTGATAAATAAACATTTATAGTTGATAAATAAACATTTATAGTTGATAAATAACTATGTTGTGCATGAAAAATTTAAAATGTTAAATGCGACCAAACCCCTAACTACAGGAAGACACGGTCTGTAAATAGCTTTTGTCTGCAGTAATCTTTCTATAATATAAATGTAATATAATTTTGTCTACAGGCAACTCTGGTGTGCAAATTAACTTGTAAATAAATTTCTAGTAACAGGGCTAAATGCAACAAAATATTTAATTTGAAAATTAATATCAATTTTTAACTAAATTTGAAATAAGTTAAAAAAATAACAATTTTATTTAGATATTTTTTATTCGTACCATTTTCCTCTTAAGTTAAGAGTTTTTCCTCTAGAATTTTTACTATTATACTTTTTTCCCCCTCCATCAATGTTTTCACATTTCTCTGAAGCAT